TTGGCTGGGAGACCTGGGGAGACACTGGGACATGGGACCCATGAGAGGCCCCGTTACCAGGGGAGGATAAGCAGGGTCGTTACCACTGTCTGTGTGTCTCCCGCTGTGTGTCCTCCACCCAGGCCCTCTGTCTCCAACTCCCACCCAGGCCCAGACACCATCAGGGCAGCCCTGTCCTGTCAGAGTGAATCTGCTCTGTGCCTCCCCCTGCAGAGCGGCCTGAGGCGGGAGGAGGAGGCAGCTGGGGAGCTGAGATCTGGGACCTGGGCTGAACCTGCTCAGGGCTTGGTCTGCAGTCCTCGGGGCTGGAGGAGAGGGTGACACAGGAGGTTTCTGTCCCACTTCCCCATCCGCCTGTGTCACTGTGTGTTCCAGCACTGTAGTCCCACACCGCACAGTAATAATCGGCCTCGTCCTGGGCCTGGGCCCCGCTGATGGTCAGGGTGTCTGTGTCCCCTGAGTCAGAGCCAGAGAATCGTTCAGGGATCTTTGAGGTCCTGTTTTCGTCACTATCAACGACCAACACGGGGGCCTGGCCGGGCTTCTGCTGGTACCAGCTTGCATAAGATTCTCTTACGAGATCTCCCTGGCAGGTGATCCTGGCCTTCTGTCCCGGGGCCACAGACACTGCTGGGGGCTGATTCACTACAGAAGAGGCCACAGGACCTGGAAGAAAGGAGAGGAGAGGTGAGTGTGGGCATGAGGCTCTCAGTCCCAGAGGCCCACACCCCGCAGCGTCCCCTGGGCTGAGCTGAAGGTCATGGCCAGGCTGCTCCCTGGTTTCTGGGCCTGAGCCTGGGGGCAGCACCTGTGCAGAGTGTGAGGAGGGGGAGCAGGAGGGTCCAGGCCATGGTGAGGCTGCCAGGCTCTGCTCTGAGCCCTCAGCTGGGGTGTGGTCTTCAAGGCTCTTCACTCCTGGGTGGGCGGGGCCTCATGCAAATCCACTTCCTTCCTCCTGGGCCTCAGGGCTGTCTCCCTGCTGAGCAGCAAAGTGCTCAGTGGAGGAGGCTGTGCCAGGGCTCCATGCACAGGCCTGAGCCAGGGTCCCTAGCGCCCTGTGGTTTCCAGTTAGAAAGGTCTGTCCTGCTGGTGTGGCCAGTGGATGCGCATTGACCCATGAACCAGGGATTCCTGGTTCAATTACAAGTCAGGGACCATGCCTGGTTTGGCGGCTGGATCCCCAGTAGGAGGGTGCTAGAGGCTGTTAATCAGGGATTCTCTCCTCATTGACTTTTCTATCTCCCTCTCCCTACTTTGTCTGAAATAAATAAAAACATATTTTTTTTTAAAAAGAGATAGTTCTGGCCCTGACCCAGCACACTGGCCTCCTCTCTGGGCATGTGGACAACCCTCAGGCCTCCTCTCTGGTGAGAACTCGCCCTCAGGGTGAGGCTGGGGGGCTGGGAGGAGCCTGTGGGGCCAGTGGTCCTGCTGGGGTGGGAGAGGCCAGGATCCCATGGCCAGAGGCAGAGAAATTGCTCACGTGCCTCTCAGGCGACCTTGTTATTGATTGTTTTAGGAAGAAATAAGAGAAATCTTTGAGACCCGAGGCCAGAGGACAGGAGGAAACATGAAATTTAGCCAAAGAATCAGAGCCCAGGAGGAGACGACAGGCAGAAAGAGCAGGCACGTCAGGAAGAGGGTGTGTGATGGCCATGCGCACAGGGGAGGGCGTGCATCCTCAGCTGTTAGGGAAACAACAACGAAACCACAGCGAGACACGACCACACACGGGTCAGGGGCTCCCGTGACACAGGGAACCCGGAGCCGGCAGGGGCGGGAGGAAGGGAGGCGGGTGCAGGGACGGTGGGAACGGGAAAGGCTCGGTGGCTGTGGGAAGGCGCCTCACAGCCTCTCGGGGACTGAGACTCGCACTCAGCACACAGCCCAGCAGCTGTGCTCCGGGC